GCGCGGACTCGTTCGTTGTTGAACACGGATGTTGCAAACCCATGTGCTTCTATATGTTGTCGTGCATCTTAACATTCTTATGAAGTTTTTTGTGATAAAAGACCATCGGCACGCGCGCGCGACCACGGGCGCGTGTGAGTTTCGTCATGTTTTTTTGCGAGGGCTTCTTGCGACAGCTCGCGCGCAAGTGCGTTCGAACGGTTTTTGACATGCGCGCGCGAAAGTCCCATCTGGTAAATTTCCATGAACATGTTGAAAAACCTTGTGTATTCACAGGAGCGTGAACTCAAACTTTGTTGGAACATTCTTGATGCAAAACAGCGTTTTCACTCGATTTTGAAATCCCTGCGAAACCAACGGTTTTGTTCCCCCAAAGATTTCGGCATGCGCGCGCGACGACGCGCGCGTGTGCACTTCGTCACATTTTTTTGTAAACGGAATCTTGAACATGTGTGATTTTTGATACACGTGTGCGCGCGCATAGTAGTTATTTGCAGACGATGACGGGGAAACCGTTACCGGTCTGCCTGGGATGGTACGAGTTCATGGTCAGGATGGGCGATGGGGCAGAGTCATATGTACTCTACAATACGAAAATGGGATTGGTTAAATCGGGGGGGGTAGATCCTAGAATATGTGCTGAGCAATCTGTGCGGTATATTCTATGTTCTGCAATCAGTGTGGCATAAGCCTCCCACTCTGCCTTGTGTGGCATGCTATGCGCACCAATACCGAGCAATGCCACGCACTACAAAGCAGTGCAATACAATGCAAAGCTATGCGAACCAATGAGCGGTACTGAGGAGCCGTGTGAAACATTGTGAACCATTGCCAAGCGATGCAACGCAGAGAACTGCAAACCCAGGCGAAGCAATGCAAACACAGCAATTGACACCAATGGAATGCAATGCGCAGTAACGCAACGCAGTGCAGCGTAACCCAGACCCAGACGGCGACGGGCCGGTGACGGCGACCACATAGCCAACAGACGAACGTGCAGGCCCAGAGCGACGGTGCGGCCACGGCGACCACAAGTAGCCGTCAGACCGACGGGCAGGCCCAGAAGACGGGCGGCGACGAAGCGGCGACGGGGCGGCGACGGCGACACTTAGCCGCAATACCGACGGCAGTTAGATAGAAAAGAAGTAAGAACCCCTAAGGGCAAGCACTGTTTGGGGAATGATGTTGGTAATGCTGATGCTGCTGATGATGATGACGCCTCTGATGATGCTGATGACGTCGATGCTGATGTTGCTGATAATGACGACGGTGATGATGATGATGATGATGATGATGATGACGATGATGATGCTGATGCTGCTGATGATGATGATGATCATGATGCTGCTGATGTCGATTAACATGCTGATGACGATGATGCTGATGATGATGAACATGATGATGTAGTTGGTGATGATGATGATGGTGATGGTGGCAACGGGCGATGTACGATGGTGATTGTATTGACGATGTTGATGTCGTTGACCATGATGATGCTGATGATAATGTTTGTTGTTTGCTGATTGTGATGATGATGATGCTCATGATTCTGGTGATGGTGATGGTGATGGAGTTGGTCATGATGACGGTGGTGATGCTGATGGTGATGGTGATGATGATGATGATGATGATGATGATGATGATGATGCTCGTGCTGATGCTGATGCTGATGCTGCTGCTGATGATGATGATGGTGATCATACTGATGATGCTAATGACCCTGATTTTTATTTTGTTGTTTTTGTTGTTATTATGTTTGGTTGTTGTTGTTGTTGCAATTGTTGTTGTTGTTGTTGCTGTTGTTGTTGTATTCCCATTTCTAAAAACGATTATTGTTGATCCCCCTCTTCGGTGCACATGGTGTATTTTGATCGAAGTGCCCTTCCCGGGGCTCGCACCAGGTTTTGAATCAGGGAAGCTCTTGAGTCTCAGAATTTTGTGGTTGGCTTCCTTATTTACAACAACACCGGCTCCCGCCTGGTACTGCTTCACAATTTATTCCCAAATGGCGCTCTCGCGCTGGGCTTCCTCACAATTTATGCAGAAATCGCTCTCTCGCGTGGGACTTTCTCGCAATTTATTCCATCTAGGAATCACGAAGTCGCTCGGGCCTTTCTCATGATTTACTTAGGAATCGCGCTATCGCTTTAGGTTTCCTCGCTATTCATGCTCACCCTTCGGCAACCCGCCTTCTCGACCTGGCCGCCTGGGCCCGCCTTCTCGACCCGCCCGTTCGGGTCTACCCGCCCGATCTGCCCGTCTGGTTCTGCCACGTGTTTTCTGCTCCTAGCCCCTTCCTGCTAATCTCTCTCGTGCTCTGTCCTCCCCCCTCCCGCTTCCATCCGTCCTCTCTTCCCCTGTTTTAGGGGCTGCGCCACCTACACGCGGCAGGTAGGGAAGATGTACCCTCAAGCGGGGTACGATCGACGGCGAATAGAGCGGGTACCGAGGGTTTGGGATATACGTGTTGAACGGCATGCGAGCAGGTAAGAACGAGTACTCTTTAAATGATTGCTGCTGTTGTTGAAGGTTGGTTATTGAACAATTGTTATTGTTGGACCCCTTACAGGCGCCCTGGCGCTCTCGCCGAGGCGCCGGCTACATTTTCAATGAAAATGAGGCTCACGCTCGAGCGGTTTGGGGGACCGCCAAAACTGCCCCCCCAACAACAACAACGCTCCCGCTCGAGGCTTCCTTCTTTTTTGCTCAGGGCTGGTGTTCTTGCTCGCCGCCGAAAGCCGCCGTCCTAACAAAACCAGTGCTCCCGCTCGAGACTTCCTCCCGTTTTACCTTGGACTGGCGCGCTAGTCTTTCTCTCATCGGCGCCGCCCCCAGCAAAAACAACGCTCCCGCTCGAGGCTTCCTCCCTTTCTTACTTAAGGCGGTGCTCCTCCTCGCCGCCGAAAACCGCCGCCCCGACAAAACCAGCGCTCCCGCCCGAGACTTCCTCCGTTTTACGCTGGACTGGCGCCCAACTCTTTTTTGAATTGGCGCCGCTCCCAGCAAGAACAACGCTCCCGCTCGAGGCTTCTCCCTTTTTCCTGAAGATGGTGTTGTTCCTGGCCGCCGACAACCCCCGTCCCGACAAAACCACGGCTCCCGCTCGAGGCTTCCTCCCTTCTTACTCAAGGCGGTGCTCGTCCTCGCCGCCGAAAACCGCCGCCCCGACAAAACCAGCGCTCCCGCCCGAGACTTCCTTCCGGTTTACGCTGGACTGGTGCCCAACTCTCTTTTGAATTGGCGCCGCTTCTAGCAAGAACAACGCTCCCGCTCGGGATTTTCTCTCCTTTTCCTGGCTGTTCCTCGCCGCCGACAACCCCCGTCCCGACAAAACCACGGCTCCCGCTCGAGGCTTTCTCCTTTCGTACTCAAGGCGGTGTTCCTCCTCGCCGCCGAAAGCCGCCGTCCCAACAAAACCAGCGCTCCCGCCCGAGACTTCTTTCCGTTTTACGCGGGACTGGCGCCGAACTCTTTTCAGCATCGGTGCCGCTCCCAGCAACAACAGCAGCCCTGCTCGAGACTTCTTCCCTTTCTATTCAGGGCCAGGTCCTTGCCTCACCGCCGACAGCACCCATCCCCACCAAGGCAATCCTGTTGTTCGATACTTCCTTGTGCTTTACCCTTGACTGGGGTTCCACTGGCGGTCTCGCATCGGCGCAGCAAGGCGCGGGCATGTGTTTCGATGCGGAATATGTCGAAATTCTTCGGAGAAGGTGTTTGCAAGACCTCATTGGGCGGGAGATCTGGGAGTGGGAATAACGGACCCCGATGTAGAACAAGAGTCTCCCATGATGTGGATGGTTATCATGATGGTCGCATGCTTCGTGTGGAAACATC